ATCTCCTGACTTCAAAATAGGTAAACTAATGTTTTAACTTACACAGTCGTGGTCCTTCAGGAAACTGACTTCATGGAGAGAATTTTTTTTACATAGCGTGGCAATTGTTTGTGTGTAAATAAGTTTCCCTAAGTTGCATTTGAAAGTGTTTCCTTCTGAAGTACAAAAGCATCCATCATAATACCTCATTTCCCTGTTATTTTGCTTCACAGATTCCTTTTTCTCAGACTGAGCAATGCTTTTCTGTCGTCAGCACTATCATGATAATGATTAGTGAGGTCCAAATGACCGAGATGTCCCTGTGGCTACACAGGGTGGGTGGCACAGAGCTTCCAACGCCGTGTGTTAAACTCCCCGGCCCTGCAGCAGGATCACTGAGTCATAGCAAATCTTACCACTTCTGACTCTGTTTCCCCAAATTCTTCCCCCAAAGATGAACAGTTCTTTAAATAAAAACAGAAGGTTTCTAAGAGAAGAATGAAGGAGGAAGAAAAAGAGCAGATAGTATCCTGTAGGAGCCAAAGTTTCCAGCTAAACGGCTCTTCATGCCCAGCCCCCTCCACCCCCCGCAGAGTGTCCTCTTGATGGGTACAATTGTACGTCACTGCGCCAGTGACACTTGCTGCAATTCGGTGTGGCCTCAGGCATAAGTCATGGAAAGGTATTCTTTTTCATAATTTTTATACACAGAATCATTCCCTCTAGGCATCGAGTGTCTCGTCACCAGAGAGAAGTAGACAGACAGTCTTGGAGGAAAGGGGCGGAGGATCTGAAAAAGCCAGTTGCAGGGTAGCGCACTGTGCGTGGTCTGAATAAACACACAAAGCAACGCTGTATTGTATTTAGGGTTGCATGCAGTAGCAATAAGGAAATCGTCACAGACCTGGGCATTGGCAGAACTTTGTGGCCTGATGTGATTAACAGCTCATTCCGTCAAGTAACTATTCCTGTTAAAAAACAATTGGGCAATTTTCTATTAGACCTTAATGTTGGCTAATCATGAGTTTGTGACCTTTAACAAGACATTTAACCAGGCAACAGCCTTCGTACAGCCTTGTAACCATCCTAATAACCTTAACTGGCCTGCCGGCCCCCCCTCCCTACTCCCCTCCCTCTCTCCCTTCCTTTTTATTTCTTTCTGTCTTCTGTTCTTCTCTTTCTCTCTTTCTTCTTTCCTCCTTCCTTCCCGCTGCTTCCTCCCTATATTTTTTTTCCTGTTTTTCTTTTCTTTTTTTCTCCCTTGCTTTTTTGAAATTTTCAAATGGCCCAATCAGGGGGAGATTTTTAAACTGGTTTGCTCATGAATCTTTACCTTTTGAAAAGTTCAGAACGAATCCTTGGCAGTTGTTCACAATCAATTCATCTGAGAAGTCGCCTGCTAATAGCACAATAGCAATAGTTGTAATAATATACTAATGCATAGAAACAACAACAAATTCTGAATAGTTGTTACCAATAGAGAGGAAGGAAGGAGAATGATATTTGAGGGACATATATAGGGGACATTAATTGAATCTGTAGTGACATACTCTGGAGGAAGGTACAGCAAACTGTTAAGATTTGATAAAGTGGGCAGAGGATGCAAAATTGTTCTATTATTCTCTATGACTTTAAAATTTAACGTATATGATTGCAATTTGTCAAAAGTGTTCCAGAGAGTGAGAAAATCATGGTTCATCTCACTGATTTTCTTCCTGTTATACCACCCTTTGTCACCTCTAATATGCCCATAAAATTGAGTCCTGAAAAACATTCGAAATTTTTCTCCAATTGTGATTTGTAAGTACTTGTTCAAAAGATAGCATGTGTGTATTTTTATAGATCTGGGGCATCTTTATGGGATGGGTGATTTTTACAGGAAAAACCTAGAGATACAACATCACAGTTAGTGGTTGGCAAACGCTTGTAAAACTTCTCTCTCCGAAGTCACTGAGATAAGAAATAGAAGCAGTAGACAGTCCTTATTCGTAAGGATTTTGCAATCTGGAAGGGATATGACACAGGTATCACCAACTTTTACAATTTTTATAGAGATTAAGAGGGGTTGTCAGTCTGAATTAGTCTCAAGACTAAACTATGAATCATTATAAAATCCATGAGATGAGTATTGTCAATTCTACTATCATGAATTTACTCTTCAGATATACTTACACATAATTCATACAAAAGCTATATTCATTATAACAAAACACTGCAAATAATCGAAATGTTTATCAACATGGGTCTGGTTAAATAAACTAGGGTATATTCATCTAATGGAATACTATGCATTCAACTGAATGCAACATCCCAGATGCCCTAAAATAAACAGAACCCCCAGGTACACTGTAAAGTAAAATAAAATAAGACAATCAAATAAACAACAATAAACCAAAATAAAGAGCAAAATAAAATTATAGTATTCTACAATTTTTGTGAGGAAATAACGAATTTGTATATACACATATATGTGTGTGTATGCACAGAATATCTCTGCATGACATTCAAAAAAGATCTAGAACTAGAATGGAAGAAACCGAGTAGTTTCGGGGAACAGGAGTAAGAGCAGGACTGCACCCTTTCATGCCTTTTATGTTTTATGCCATGGACATGTTTTCCTCATAAAAAATAAAATTACATAAAGCTACAGAGATGTAAAATGTAAATTGGGAATAATAGGAGAAATGAGCATTGGAAAAAAGGATTGAAAGTAAAGACAGATTCTTTCCTTTTCTTTTTTATTTTGCGATATATTTGTAGGATTCCTAGAGTGTTAGAAGAGCAACGCTCCTGCTTGCATAAAAGCAGCGGGCGAGGGAGGAGGTCGGGAGGGCACAGGAGAAGCTGATGCAGTCAGTCAAGAATGTCCTGATGGGTCTGGCTGGAATCGTCCCGTGTGTTTGCCAAGGCTAAGTGTCCCTGGATATGGAGGAATCGACCTTCTTCCAACCTCCTCTCCTCAGAGATTTTGAGCTCTTTGAGGGCAGCAACTAGGTTTATGGATTTTTAGACCTTCTTGCTCAGTGGGGAATCTGGCCCATAGTGAGTCTTTGATCTGAATTGAATAATTGACTGATTGGGGTGAGGACCTGGAGGTCCTTAGTGAATGCAATACTCTGAGAAGGAAAAAGTTGCCATGCATTTGCCTTTCAAGGGACAAGTTATTGTATTTTCTTATGATTGCTATCTGGGGACAGCAAATAAGTATGAAACACTGATATTCCAGGGTGCAGTCTCTCTCTTACTCCTGTTCCCTGACTACCCAATTTCTTCCATCCTATTTCTAGATCTTTTTGGAATGCCATACAGAGATATTCTGTGCATATACATACATATATATGTATATATCAATCTTTATTTTCTCACAAAAATTGTAGAATACTGTAATTTTGTTTTGTCCTTTATTTTGGTTTATTTGATTTTCTTATTTTACTCTACAGTGTACTTTGGGGTTCTGTTTATTTTAGGGTATCTAGGATGTTGCATTCTGTTGAATGCATAATATTCACGGCCATTGCTAAGTAGAGTTCCAAAGGAACTTGCCTTAAAACATAAACAAGAATCATTTCTAGTTAGTTAGCAGAATTATCATTTATATGCAAATGGTTCTGCTTAAGTGGCTTTAAGTTCAGGAGAATAACTCACTTTTTCAGGAGTTCAAAGACCCCTGTTATGTTTACCTTATATATTTGTTTTGATAATTCTTTTTAGTGCAGTAATAACTTAAGCCAATTCACCTTCTAATAATATATTATAATACAGAGTTTTAAATATCAAACTTTGTGAGGATTTATACAATTTATTTCCCCTCTAGGGAGGCTATGAAGGAGAAGTTTAGGGTTTTAGTAGCATAATTCCAGAAATATATTGCAGATTCCCATTCTCCTATCTGACTATGAGGTATATATTCATATACCTGCATATTAATATATGCAAATGTCTCCAATCTGATTATCGCACAGTGCTAGCATTCTAGAATGCATAATCTCCAATTATTGGAGGTGCTATCTTGTGTAAAGCTCATATGTCATCACGTATTATTTTTCTTTTCGGTTGCACTGAGTTCCATCGTACTGATTAAAGTGTGAGTATGCCGGTCTGCAGATGGGTGGGTTGGGAGCCAGCTACGGAGAGAATCTTCTTTTCTCTTTGAAACCTGCCATGGGATTTTTCTCTTTTCCTAAGGAAAGTGTATCCTTCGAAAATTTTGTAATACAAACAGAAAAAGAAAAAAAGCTCAGTGAAAATGAGTTATTCTTTAACAAAGAGTAGCTGACTATTTGTTTAAATGTACATCTGGAAATGGCCATTGGGGTTGAGACAGTCACGGGTGTTTCAACATGAACCTGTTTGCACTCCCACCCGCTTGATGTTGGTGCCATTTGGAGTTCCTGTGATTTCACGTGGGCCCTGTTTGCCCAGCGCGTGCATACTGTTTCATTTCCCACAAGGAAGGGCCGCATGCTAACAGGAATTGCCGAGAAGGCAACGTCACCTTTGGTCCTGGCTTGGCACTCACATTTTGTAATCTAGGATTCCTGAGATCCATTTTTAGTTGAAAACTCTTCTGTAAAGCTATCTATGTGAGCCTTTATTTACAAATCCGTGATGTTTCTTGATCAATATAACTATCTCATAATTTCTTGTAACATTATTTAAAATTTCAAAATAAATGGAACTGATATTGTGCCTAAAACCAAATAAAACTCATTATAATATTGGAAATGCTTTTTTTTCTAACCACATCTCCACTACTTTGAAAATGTTGATACCTTGAGGAAGGAAGAGGAAGATGAAAAGAATAAAAAATCTTCTCCGCTGAGAGTTTTCGCCTTGGCACCATCTAGCAGGCTGAACAGTTTCCGCAGGAAAGGGTGGCTGGCCTCAGTCCTCTTTATGGGGCACAATCTTGCTACCCTGGGAATGGAGTTGGACTGGTGGGCTAAGCTCAGGACTCGCCCCTTCTCTCACAGACCAAATGTCTTTGCTTTTGTTTTCTGTTTTTCCGTCGTCCCCGTTAGAACATCGTGTGCACAGGCCGGCGTCAGTGGCACCCAGATCCCGCCCTGGTCCACTGCATCCAGTCGTGTGAGGTAAGTAGGTCTCCCCTTCCCCAGCCCAGACGGAGAACTCTGTGTGCTTAATTCACAGAACTTGAGTCCTTCTGATTCAAGATCCTGTTTCTCCCCATCTCTTCTGCCCTTTGTTGAACCTCTTAGATTAAGTTGGCTTCGCAATGCAAAATTTATAGAAATTAGGCTATCTGATTTTTGCTTTGTTTTTAGCAAAATCTTCAGAGTTCTACTTCAATTGACTTAATAAAAAATAAGCTAAAAAGCAAGTCAGAATTATTTATGGTTTTGGGATTCTGTGGCTGGGCATTGTCTGAGCTTCATTAGCTCAGGGTTTTGCAGACAGTGGCCCACAGACAGATTTGTTTGGCCGGCACAGATGTCTAAAAACACTTTTTTTTGGTTGCCAATGTTTAAAAATTGAGATTTTCACGTACAATCTTATGTGCAAATATAACATTATACACATAAACACATACCTCAAATAAAAATAAATATAAAAAACTTTTTGTGAAAGATTTTTCTCTGGAGAAACAAGAATATTTGGCAACCATAAAAACAATTAGCTGGATCAGAGTGGCAGCTCTGACTCCAGAAGGACAGCTCTCTCCAGCTAGCACAGTCCTTACCTCTGCCTGCGGCTGCTGACCTCATTTAAAATAACTCCCTGGGTCATGCAGGCACCTGTGTTTGCAGCCTTTTAGGTTGACCTGTTGTCCACTGTTGATTAGCCAAACTGGATCTTTACGACCTCAAGAAATCCTCTCTACTTCTTCACATAGTGGATTCCCCTACCAGCAGGGGGACTTAGGGTGCTGGGAATTATTTAGTTAGATTAATTGGAGTTAACAAAGAAGGGTCAAGAATGAGAGGGTCGTAATGAAAAAGGAAGACCCAGGAATTCTGCAATGAGGGAGGGAGATGCTTACACCACACACACATGCACACACACACAGGCACACACGCCATTTCAGCCCTCCCACCCTGGGAATAGCCAGTGACAAATACAAATATTCTAGTCTCAGTCATAACAGGTTTTGTCATCCAGATCTCACACTGGAGTAAATAAGCCACTTAGCGGCAGTGCTTGGGTCATGGCTCCTCCGTGTGCCGCAGGGAGAGCCGTGTCACTGCCATGGGTCTCCAGCCTCCTCCCCCAGGCACGCTCAGCCCGCATGCACGGCCACCCTCCATTCCTCTGTATCTCTCTGTCTCTTGATCTGATTCTGGGAAAGTGGGATCCACATGAGGCCAGAGAGGGGGAAAGGGTGGGGTTTGAGAGAACAGAGAAAACTGGGTGGGGAGATGATACCAATAAAAGAGCGTCCTGAGAGTGCATCGGGGAAAATGCGAGCATGGAGTGTGCTTTGTTACCGTGTGGGCCAACAAAACAGCTCATCTTCTGCCATCATTAGAAAAACAGATGGCAGTGGGGTGGAGGCGGGGAGAGTGGCGTGAATCATCCTCTGAGCAGGGGGTACAGAGCGGGGAGGAGGAGGCCGGGGAAGGAGGAAGATAAACAGACAGAGGGCTGGGGACCTGGGAGGAGATCAAAGGGACCCTGAGAATTCCCTTCTGCTGCTTCTATGCATGATCTCAAGTGGGAGGGTGGCTGACAGGGCTTGGAGCTGGCTTCAGTGTTTCCCAGAAGGTTACGATACAGAGCTTTCGCCATTTGCCCTGCCCTCCTCCCCGCAGCCCAGCACATCCGCTCCATCTCTTATCCCGGGCTTCCTAAGCTGCTGTCAGTCCCTTTGTTGATGTGACCAGGGATAAGGTTCTGTTTCCTCTGAGGTCTCCCCCGTTTGACTGCCACCCTACGCAGCCGAGCCCTGATGCCTCACAGCTGTTGTCCCCAAGTCCAGTGGTTCTCCAAGCGCAGCCCCTGGACCAGTCCCACCGTGGCATCACCTGGGAACCTGTTAGAGATGCGCATTCTCAGGCCCTGCCCCAGACCTGGATCAGAAACTCTGGGAGTGGGGCCCAGCGGTCCATGTTTTAACAGGCTTCCCACTGACTCCGATGCCGCTCACGCCAAGAACCACCACCCTAACCACTGTGGGCGCAGACGAGAGGTTCCTAGCCTGTGCGTCCTTCCTGCGCAGCTTTCTTTGTCCAGAAAAAATTCTATTTACGTTCTGATTATTCTATGCTATTCCCTGAGACACTCTGGGTAAGACAAGATTTGAAAAACTAGGTATTGGCCTCTGGTCTCTGAGCAAAGGCTAGGAAGAAGAAAAACCCCTTAGAGGGGTGGAAGGAAGATACAAAGATAAAGAAAAATCAGTACTGAAGAAAACGAGGGAATTGAACAGGGGAGTAAAAGGAGAAACAACTCAGAAGAAATACGTAATGAGAAATGCAGAGAGGGAGGGCGACGATGAGAAAGGAAGGAGGAGAGAGGCTGAAACTGGCATGTTCTAGGGGTAACTTGGCAGACGCTGCGTTCTTTACTGGAAAAAGTCCGCTAAATATATTAGGGAGAACTGAAGAGTGTCAAAGACAGTCGGAGGGAAAACAGACCCAGAGGAAGATAAAACAAAGAGGGCTGCGTGGGGGAAAGGACGCTTAAAAAGTGCAGTGCAAGTCTGAGCTCAAATTAGGCACTCTGACACCCAGTATCTGAAAGGGTTTCTGTCTTCACTTCCCGACACTGGATGTAATTCTAAGATGTCCCCTAAGGAGCGCCTTGCTCCTTACTTCCCCCAGGACGTCCAAGGCAGTAAATCCATCTCCTCACTGTCCCCAGCCCGCGTTGCACTGTCAGTCCCTTCAGCACCTGTCCGTGTCCTATCCTCTTCACCGTAGTTTTCCCTTCAATCCTCCACCGTTCTGTGCTGCTCACATTTTTTGAGGCACCTCTTAAGATTTCCCCTAAAAAATCTTGTTTCTAAATAATTCCATCTTTTTATTGTCACTTAACGTTCCCATTGCCTCAGGAAGAACATGTGTGTACCACATCTCTGTGTCCAAACCTGTTTATACATTAAATTCTAGTTTTCTAGTTGTTTCTTTCATTCGACCTTTTCGACCTGAACGTTCCTTGCATTGTCTGTTTCTTTTGTAGTTACAAATGGGCAAGGAATGGAACTTGGTTAGTGGAAGGGTTTGATGTCAGACAAATCTAGACTCAAATCCCAGGTCGGCCGAGGAGCGTGAGTCTCAGGGTCTTCCTCCGTTTGGGAAAGTGGGCCACAAAGCTGTTCTAAGGAGTTGTCATGAGGGATTGATGTGATAATGTACATAAGGTATTTAGGGCCATGCCTGGCCCATAGGAGATTCTCATAAAGTGGTGTCATTTGTTGTGCGCCATTAGCGACTCCGTGAATGTTTACTGAATGTGGAAAGCAGAAAGCAGGAGCATTGCTGCTGGGATGGCCCCAATATAATGGGCGCAAACTTTTGAGGATGAGAAAAAGGAAAGAAAAGGAGAAAGAAAAGGAAACAGGCCATTCCCATGGGGACCCACTGAGATCCATAACTCCCAAATCACATGGAGACAGACAGTTGTCCTGTCCAGTCACCAGCTCAGTGGGTCACCAGCTCGTCATATGAGCAGCTCTCCTCACTCTTACTATCACGCCCCGCTAGCTGGGCCTTCAGCGTTCTCACTGTGCTACTGCAGTCGTGTGCTAACTGTTCTCCCTCCCCCAAGACCTGCGCCCATCAGTTGCCTCCATTCTCTCTGTCGTGACCACGGGGTTCTTTTTGTCACGTCTCCTCTGCTAAAAATTTCTCTGCAACTCCCCGTTGTTTGCACATTTAAGTCAGACTCCTCTGCAGGTAGCAAATGGGCCTTTGTCTCTCAGCCTCGTGTCTTTTCAAATCGCTCTGCGCACCCTTTACTCCAGACGTGAAAAGCCTCTTGCAATGACAATATTCTGAAAAGCACATGGGCTTTGCGCTGCTGGTCTGCTTGATCTGGGACTGAATATTGGTCCCACTTGCTGGGTGACAAATGGCATGTTGCTTTGCCTTCTTGTGCCTCACTACCCTCAACAGAGTTTTAATAGGGTTTTTAAAACAAAGTTTTAATAGGAATGCCTGTTTCATAAGGTTGTTGTGAAGATAAATGAGATACTGTAGACACCGAACTCAGTCTAACTTCTTACACATAACAGTGCATAATAAATATTATCTACTTTTATTATCAATCATAGAGGTATTATTATCATCATATGTTAGTTCATGCCCTGTATCTTGGTACATGCTGGGTCCCTTTCCTGGGACCCACCCCATGTTTCTTTAAGCCAATGATTCTCAACAGGGGACCATTTTGAGGCCCCCACTCCTCACACCAGGGGCAATATCTGAAGACAGTTTTGGTGGTCATGACTGGGTGAGGGGGGGCTGGAATCTAGTAGGTGGAGGCCAGTGATGCTGCTAAACATCCTGCAATGCACAGGACAGCCCCACAATGAAGAATTATTCTATCTGAAATGTCAATACACTGTTGAGAGATCTTGCTCTAGTCAAAATCCTACTGATCCTTCAACACATTTTCGAGGTGTTTCTTCTACTTGGATTATTTAATGACTAACCTCACATAGCACCCACTCCGAACCACAGATGAGTTATATAATTGTACTATGGTCTCCGTTTTACCACTTACCACTTTTGGGAAAGCATGGTTTCCTGTGTGTCTGCCTCAGGTCACTATGACTACTTGCAAGTTGAAAATATTCTCTTTTCCAATTTTGTGTCTTACCTACTCAACACAATGTCTTCAATAGCTGAGGCATACAAAAGAATTTGTTGATTGAAATAATAATTTAATATGCACATTGATTATAAAATTATAGATAAGCATACAAATATTCTATGATAACTGTATAAAAAATAAATACTCTGTCAAATGCTTGTCCAGCAAAGTACATTCTTTTCTCAGTATAGAGAAAGAAAGAGAAGGAGAGAAAATGGTTTTCCTCATCTTGTGAGGTAATAAATGAAGTGTTTATTCCATCCGTGAACACTGTGATACTATCAGATAATAAGTTATCTTCTCTCTTTCCTCCCTCCCT